CACTAAATTTTACACTTGATACTAATATTACACTTTATGTTAAATTAATAGGAATTTAAAAAAAACAAAAAAAATGCCCATTGTTAAACACAGCCTCTGAATACCTTTCTATTTTATCATTACTTATTGGAGAATTTTCTTGAAATCCACACCCATTCTGTCTTTGTATGGTTTTTGACTATTATTGTAAGTAGTCTTAAGTTCAGTGATTTTTGAATATATATTATCAGATATATAGGCACATATATAGTTTAAAAAATAGTAAAGGAAGGAAGGAAGAACAGACCCATGTGCTGAAGATATAGAACCAATTAAGGCATAAAAGTGTGAACATTTGGTAACATAGATAATAATACTAACCACAATAGACTTCATTTCTTTAGCAATAGTTATGTATGGTCTAGAGGATAATAAAAGTGTGAAGTAGATTTGTTTTTCCTTCTACACAGTATGTTTCATTTACACGTTCACTAACATAGTTCATTTTTACTTCTAGAATCATAATAGTCATTCTATACTAATCTTTTTATGAATGGCAGAAAAATCAATGAGAACAGATTAAATAATGTCACCATTAATCTCAAAGAAATTACATATAATATATAAAACAATATATGTAAAATATAAATATACAAAAATATATATAGAAGAATGACATTTTCTATAAAATCAAGTACCAGCATTCAGTCACATGAAAAGGATATGAATGTACCAAAATCTTAATAGCAATTTTCCTAACAGGGTTTAGCGGAGTTAAAATATACAAGGCAGAGGTGGCACTGAATCGGAAAATTGCCTTCCCTTTATTCAATACTATAAAAGTCTGGAAAAGAAAATATGAAAAAAATTACTAGATTAGACACGTGGCTTACTTGAAGAGCTTAAACACATGAAGAACTTTTTACCTGATTTGTTTATTCAAATTTGTTTGTTTAAACAAGTTGGTATATTGTAACTATAAACATGTTAGATGTTTCTCCCCTAAATTAACATATAGCTACAAATAAACATGATTTACTATTATCTAATTTGTCTCTAGAGTTTCAACTTTCTGATACAAACTGATGATCCTACACAAATTTTTTTATCAAATTGTAACTTTACAGACTCCAATTTTATTTAAAGCTTACCATCTGTCTCCAGCTTTGGTAACTTTTTCATATTATTCTGTACATATTGCTACTAAAATAATCTTTTTTAATTTTAATTATTTCAAGTCTTTGAACTCTAAAGTTTATGAAGTCTATTTTCCCTACGGTAGTTGTCCTACTTTAAAATGTTCAAATAGGCTGAATAACCTGGTTTTGCTGATTCTATAGATCTGCTGGTAATACTGAGAAGGGACAGCTGCATTGAGAATTAGGATTAAATGCATCATTTCAAAGGGCATTTTGTGGCTAAAACTCTATGACTTGAAACCTATAATCATCAATTTAGCATTTAAGCCATGCTACCCGGTGATTACCCACCACATCTCTCTAGGATCATCTTTTAGTTTTTCTCACTAAGGCATCTCTGCTCCAACCAATTCAGTTCACTTGTCAATTCCACTCATAACCCGTCAGCTTCCCCCTCTGATTCTGAAAATGTGTCATAAAATCCTAGAGGAAGGAGGTACCTGAGAGGTCATCTAATATAAATTCCCCCCATTTCAGGTCCATAAGAGGCCTGACAATGAAGTCCCACCAACTATTATATCAAAGGTTATTAGTCCTCTCTGCATATTAGAATCTCTTGAGGTGATTTTAAAATTGCCAATATTTAGGTCCTACTCATAACCAATTGAATCAGAATTTCTGGAGGATGGGCACAGACATGGGTATTATTTTTAAAATTTCCTTAGGTAATTCTAATATGCAGCCAGGGTTGAAAAGCCCTACTCTCGGAAAATGTCCTCAGCTATCAAAATCACCTCCTCCATCATGTCTTTCCAGATAAATCACTGCCTTCTGCTCACTCTCTAATTGTTTCCCTTTACCAGTAAGTCTTAGTGTATTAATTTGCACACATTGGCATGTTGCTTGTAATTACAGTCAAGTAGCAATTTACATGTAGGGTTCATTCCACTGAAGACTAGGTTAGAAGTTGTTATAAACTATTGAGCATAAAAGCCTGTAATCTACTTTTTCTCCATTTTTTTTCACAGTATTTAATAGTGTGGTTTGTAAATAAATACTGTTTTAATTAAGTGCAGGCTTACCTTTAAGATGCCATTTACCTTTAAGACATCAATATATCCATTTGCTTAATAGTATGTTTTTACTCTTAAACTAAGGGCTGTATCCCATACAATCATGTTCACTGACAACATGGTAATGTTTGAATAGGTAGACAGAAATATTTATATTTTGAGTATAAAGGACAGAGAAAACAATTTCTCTGTACACTGCCCTTTCGTATTCAAGACCATGGAGCCAAGCATTACCTAACCAACCATTTTCCATGAACTGCAATCTATAAATTTGAACAATTCTATAAGGAGGGCAAGTAAACATTTTTACTAGCATTGAGATCATCCAAAAGGGGCAGTGGATATTGGGAAAACTGCCCTTGAAGCACAAATGCATTAAAGGATTTTCTTGAATTCACAGGATTAGATCATTTAATATTACAAACAGTCTAGATCCATTTAGGCATTCAATGACGTAAAGTTCACAATAATTTATTTTATTTTATTTTTTTAAAGATTTTATTTATTTATTTGAGAGAGAGAATGAGATAGAGAGAGCATGAGAGGGGGGAGGGTCAGAGGGAGAAGCCGACTCCCCGCTGAGCAGGGAGCCCGATGCGGGACTCGATCCCAGGACTCCAGGATCATGACCTGAGCCGAAGGCAGTTGCTTAACCAACTGAGCCACCCAGGCGCCCAAAGTCACAATAATTTAAAGTGCATTTACTCATGCTTTTGTAAGGCAATTTCCCTGAAAAAGCAGTTACCACTTGTAACATTAGGAGAGGAATTTATTTTGAAAAATCTCCAAAAACAGTGTCACAGGAATTAACTGTCCCTTTAAACATGGAATCCTCTGCTCTCCCAAAAGATCAGCCTTCTTGGAACTAATGGGATTAAAAATGACATGCCAAGGGCATATTCATTGAATTTGCAGGTTCTGGAATACAGCAGGCCTTAAGAACACAATTTCAGTTTATTTCTGGGGAACACCGCTGAACACAAAACATTGAGTTCTGAGAAATGAGGAATAAAATACTAATATCCTGTACAGTGAAAGAATAAGAAGGAAGACACTTGAAATTTGGGACTCTGAGGTTATTGAGAGTTGTACCTAAACTGAAAATTATCGGAGAGAGTGACAGATAATTGGAGGAGGGATAAATAGTGTCAACTCCAAAATCTGGTCTCCAAGTAATGATAAATAATGATGTGGCTTAAAAAAATTACTACATATTGATACTAAGGTGATGAAAGTTATAGCTGAAAGTATGGCAAACTAGTTGTGGTTCACTCTGGAATGCTACTTGCTTTTTCCCAGATAAATATACATCTTATAGGTTCACTAAAATTTTTACTACTCAAGGCAAGGGTAAGATTCACATCTCAGAATAGGATCATATTAAGCAGAGAATTCCAAAAAGTATACAACCAATTTTTTAATGTTTTATTTTATTAATAAATGCCAGATATAGTTTTGCTTAGTGCATAAGAGCTCTGACTGCCTGGGTTCAATTCCTGAATTTACCACTTATGGTGTGTGACTTGGGCAAGTTACCTAACCTCTCTGGGTTTGACATCCCCATGTGTAAAACGAGGCTAACATAGTACCTGCTTGACTGGTTCTTGGAATATTAAATGAATTATGCCACTTAAAGCACTGAAACAGTGCCTGACAAAGTAGGAGCACAACAAACGTTAGCTATTATGATTATCACTGTCACTATTCTTCAGTTATTACCTGGTCAATTTAAACACCATTGAAATACATTGTGATGTGGCTCATCTGATTATCTGATTAAATTAGGTATGTAAAGTATATCATAATGAATGGCAGCAAACTGTTACATAATGCTTTACAGTTTTGAAGCGCCTTTCACCTGCATTATTCATATAATTAACATAAACTTCATACCATGTTTTTAAATTCCAGAACTTTTCCAAGAGCTTCTTAGGTTAGCTCCTTCAATCCTAACAATCACAAACTACCTTTTTCTTCAGTAGCACATCAGTCTTCATGTTTATGTACTTCATAAAGAAAAGCAGTGTGCCAACAGAAAAAAGTAAATAGTCTAGATGTCTCCCAAGATGGACCATGGCCACTAGGAATAAATCAAGGTCCAAGTCTGGTTCTCAGACAGGGAGGTGATAAAAAATGACTTTGCTAGCACACAAAGAACAAGTCTGTTTCTTAGCAGCACATTAACCAAGCCTGAAAGCCTGACATACAAAATCAGAATGCCAATCTACTTATTTACAACGAGATGTATTACTGTCACATGGACTGAAATAAGTGCAGTGGCAAAACCAGCATATTCTTTCCTTTCAAGCAGATCTGTGGGGGGACAAATTATAATAAGGTTCTTTGCTGAGGGTGGAGTCCAAAGAAGCTGACCTAATCAAATGCTGCACAATGTTTAATGACATCTCTGTTAGGTAGCCCAGTGTAGCTCCTCTCCAATGAAATGGCCTTGATTTGCGGAGGAAAATGCTTTTAGGGCTACTACTAAAGATCTGTTTCCCTTGGAAAATGCTGGTGTTTGTCCCCACTCCTTAATCTTACCAATTTCCTTTCTTAAGGATACTTCCTTTCTTTAAGTAGCTAATACTTCTAAGCATGTCCCAGTAAGCATACACCTGTCTCTTAAAGACATCTTGGCAAATATGTACTTTGAATCAGTAGTTTTAAGGAGAATTTTATTCTAGTTTCTTGGGGGATGTCTCACTGTCATCATCATGTGTAATAATACAGTAACTAAATTTCTTATTTTTCCTTATCACTTCTATAGTGGAGTACTGGAATAAATTATTTTTAAAAATATGTGAATCTACGCAGCTGTGTCGAATTCGGTGCCCGCCCACCCCGTGGCTCGCACCGGCCTGAAAGGCTGCCACAGAAATGCTGTGACCCATGGGAAAAAAAAAAAAATGTGAATCTATATTAAGTGCCACCTTTGTGACACTAGTTTCAAAGGAAAAAGAAAGGGCCTGTTTAACTATTTAAATTGGTTTTATGCCTTCTAGAAAGCATTTTAGAGCTTGCTATTCCAAGTGTGGCCCGTGTATTATAGCAGCAGGAGTCTCGCTCGAGGACTTGTTAGAGATGGAGGATCTCTAGCCCCACCCAGATGTCTGGAATCTGAATCTGTATCTTAAGATCCGTAAGTGATGTGTATACACATGCAAGTTTGAGAAGCCCTCCTTTAGGGCAGTAGGGCTGGTTCCACCTCTGGATGGTTCACTGTCAGGTTCTTTACCCCTCACAGATCTTGTAAGATTAAATTGCGTACTGCTTAGAGAATGCAATTTCCTTAACCATTCTTTGTAAAAGGACTGGGTCTGATTAATAAAGGTATTCAATATCTTCTTTAAACTACATACCATCAATTCATGGTGAGATTTATTTATTTTTAGCTTCTACATAGACCTGTTTTTATGCTTATGAATGTGAAATATAAATTGTGGTTATAAAATGCCAAAATACCCAATTAGATGATGCAGAATCTGTCATCCATTAAAAAATATATATATTTACTATAAAACTCACAGCTGGTTTAACTTCAAAAAACTAGTTAATTCTGACAGAATTATGTGGTTACTATAGCATTAGGAAGGCATAGTCATAACTTGATTCAAATCATATGTAGATAGAGAAAAGAGGGTTTTTTTGTCTTTTGTTCTTGAGATTTTTTTCACAGAGTGATGTTTTAACAATAGTAGGTGTGACTGTGCTTGTCAATGTATTATCTTCTTATAGGAGGATGCTAAGTAAGATTATTACCCTTTAGAATACAAATCTATTGTGAGGAAACTTCAAGCCAGTTAAGAACTAAAAAATAAGAAGCACATATGCCCATAGATCTTCTTTTGCATGTTCTTCTGTTGTCTACCATGTGCTTAAACATGTCAGTGATAACAGATATTTTGCTTTGTAGGTGTCAATTTTAGTTTTGACTCTCAGTTACTGTGGAATTGAAGAAATTGTTTATCTCTCGTATCTCTTCACTGTAGCCAAATCTTGACGTCATTTCTTATAAATGTTTCTGTTTATTATACTGTGTTTAAAAGTGGAAATAAAAAGTATAAAATCTTTAACCATAGAAAACTTAGGATACAGTATGTATATGAGCCAGAGAAAAGTATGTTAGTGTTTAATTAGGGACTTAAATTTGGAAATATAACTTAACTTTTGAAAGTATAAAATCAACACTCACTTTCTTATTGATATAGTACGGGTCCAGGTCCTCCAAGGGCTCCGACACCATCTCTGGAGGGATGTCACCGTAAATAAATGGAAGGTTCTTCCCAGCTTCCAAGTCACTATTTGGCTTTGGTTTGTTCTCGTCATCATTGTCTTGTTCTCTCTTGGGCTTTTTGGCTTTCTCTTCTGCGGCACGTTTTTCGATAGCAGCAAGAGATTCTCTAGTAAAAAGGCGGAAGCTGTCAGGCCCCGGGGGTACCAGCAGTGCCTGTGCCATCTTTTCATCCTGCACATTTAATTACGTGTAGCTTCTTGCATAAGAATTGCCTACCAAGAAAAAAGATGCACGAGAGTTAGGAAAGCAAGTGAGTGAGAGGGATTAAGAAAATCAACCAAGATGTCATTTAATGTTTCTTCGGGTGATTTCTTTGCTAGTATATTAAGAAAGGAATATTACTTTATTTTTGGTGAAAAAATTGGTTTCTTCTTCAATGCATAGACATCTTTTCTTTCTCAGTGCGCAGTAAAAACATTTTACAGTGTTCCTTTGGGGATTCATCTAGTAACATTAAAAATATAAACATTTTAGTGCTGCACTACAAATTTTAACCTGGGAGCATCATTATCCAATCTGATTTTCAATAAGCCAATTTTATAAGTCTATCAAAGTCTGGTCTGAGACCTCTGAGCCAAAACATATTATAGTATACTTTGGTAAAAAGAGTAATGTCAGTAATACCTGTCAGTGAAATTACTTAAGAACCCATTATTCCCCCTGCCACTCCTTTTATTACATCTTACTAGCTCTCCAAATAAGGAAATACAGTGGTATATGCCTGACTCATAAAATCTCAGAATAGGAAAAGAAGTTTTGCCTAATCTAACCACTGTCCTGGTTATCAGCATCATCATCATTGACCCTTGGTTCTCCAAACAAAGTCTGACCATCAGCAGCGACAGAGAAGTCAAAACTATTTCTTTTCTTTTCTTTTCTTTTTTTATCCAAAGATTTTATTTGTTTATTTGAGAGAGAGAGAGCAGGAGCAGGGGGAGGGGCAGTGGAGAGGGAGCGGCAGACTCCCGCTGAGCAGGGAGCCTGACGTGGGGCTCGATCCCAGGACCCTGAGATCATGACCTGAGCTGAAGGCAGACACTTAACTGACTGAGCCACCCAGGTGCCCGCCAAAACTATTTTCTTTCAGCTTTTTACCCTGGATCCTTCTGAAGCATCTTCTGAGGCAATGCAGAATGTATTTCCTTTTCCAGTCTGCTGTTATTCAACTATTCCAAGACACTTTTCATATTCTTTCTAAGTCTTCCATTTGGTGTAGTGGTTAGAAGCATGGACTATGGAGCTAGACTCTCTCTGTTCTTAACCCTGGCTCTGTCATTTATGAGCTGTATGACTTTGCAAAATGTAACCCCTTAGTGCTTCAGTCTCCATTTATAAAATGGGGATGCTATGAGAACTGACCTCCCAGATTATCATAAGGAATAAATGAATTAATTTACATTAAGTGTCTAGAATAGTTTTGGAATTAGTAAGCACTGTGTTGGTGTCAACTATCATCATCTAATTATCTTTTGTTCCTTCAGCGATTTCCTCTGTTGTGGTTTCAGGCATTCTCAAAATTCAAGCCACTCTCCTTTAAGTAAGGCCCTGACTTGGTGGAACCACAGCTGACCATGGAACTCCAGGAGTGGGCTAGGAAGTACAAAGTACAGGGGCGTATTCACACATGCCAAGCAACTGTCTGGGATTAGAAAGGAAAGAAGTCAGACACCTGCTCAATTCTTCAGGAAAGGTAAAAAAAATTCTGCTAGAAATGTGACAGAACTGTCAAAAATATAAGAAACCGGGTTTCTTGTATTTTCTTGTATTTTGAAACATAAGTTAATGGTTATTTTATTTTGCATTGTGCCGGAAGTCACATTTAAAAAATTAGGATAGAAAATAGAAACAATAACAACAAAATACAGTGAATACATCAGTCTCTTATAGAACAATCTACAACCATGACATCAGGATAATCATCAAAGTCATCTGTGACATTTTCCCTATGCCAACCACCCACCCTATCTCTGCCCCCACACTTATTCTGGTCTCCATAGTAGTTTATCCCTAAATGGCTTTTTAATTCTTAGCTGTTTAGTGCATGGATATACTAAGCTTACAAACAATGAGAAACTCTAGATCTTACAGCAACACAAGAAAAATGATATAGACTAAAAATGATTGTAGATCATTATATATGTTTTTTGAGTTTATATCTGAATTACTAGTTCCCTGGTCTATTCCAATGACTAAAGTATTTTTAATAACTGTGTCTTTTCATTGAATTAATATTTGTAATATGACACTGTTATATTTTCTGCTACTATGAAGGTATAAGTAAGTTATAATATAAAATATCAGATGTCAAAAAGCTGTGCCATTTTTGGCACTAGCTCTGAAAAAGGACTTCTGATTTGTGGTGGGATGGGGATTTTTTGTTTTTTTGTTTTGTTTTGTTTGTACTCCATCGGGTGAATTTAGAAGGCACAAAATAAAAAGTCGGTTCATTTTTTTATAAAAATAGAATATTCTCAAACCTTCTAATTCAACTATTTATTTTGTGCCTTCTAAATTCATGGCAAATGGCACAAACTAGAATTAAAGTTTTTAGCCATTTTATGTCCATTTTGATGTCCACATAGCCCAACACTAGGCTGTATGGAAAAATCACATTTATACTTTTGAATATAAGGAGGAGTTTGCATATTAACTGCGAGCCTTAGATACCCAGAGACGTGTAATCTGCCTGTCTCTCATCACCTTTCATGAACTGAATGGATAAGGTTCTTACCAAGTGCTAAATGAAAATGAAACAGTATGACAAAGCTATCTTAAGACATTTCTATGAAACATGGTTGCTTTCTCACGGGAGAAGAAAGGCTACTTTTGTATTTGAGCATTTAGTTAAACTAATTTTTGTTTCTTTATTAACAATGGAATGAAAAACATGCAGCAATCAGATTCTGAGTTCTAGGTTCATATTGAGCCTGTCATTAACAGTTTACTTATGACATTTAACTTTCCTCAACCTCAGTGTCATTCAAATACCTTACCATATATGTGGCAACACTTTGCCCTAAAGAAATAACCGGTTATACTCATTTAACTGGACTTTCTTGATTCCTAAGGTTTAAAATGAAATTAGGTTAAAAATATCTAAAGTGGAGATATTTTTAACAATCTGTATAGATTACTTTGTTTTCTCTGAGATGACATGGAACAAGGTATAACAAAATTATTAAAAACATATTTATACAGAAATAATTTTTTACCTTCCTGTTCACTTATCAAGGATTAGAACAAAGAATTTGAGTCTTGGTCAAAAAGAAGTAAAGAAGTCTCTGAAACTGCCACACTATTGTCTCTAAATCCTGAGGAGATAGGCCAGTTCCAGACTTTTGGCTTTTCCTCGAAGGTGAACTAAGGTTTGCCCAATATTTGGATAGGTTGAGACATTAAAAATCACAGTGAGGGGAGCTTCTCATGGCTTCTCCTGCAGGTTTGCTGTTTAGAAACATCTCATAGTTCCATGGCAGTTCTATTTTAATTTTTTTTTCTTCTTCCTTCTTGTTCTTTGTGAGCCTATTATATAGACCTCTTACATAATTTTATATTCCTATTAGAGCAGAGTTTTAAAAATTAATTCCTACTGATGCTTTGGTGTGAGATATATATTATTAATGAATAT